GAACCGGGGCCCTCTGGCGTCCCAAGCCAGCTCTTAACCAACGCGCCACTCGGGCGGCCCATAAGTATAATTTTTAAAGCTGCGTAATACCCAACTGAAAAGAAGTGTCATCTTTCAATTTTTCGTTTCCTCATTGTTGCTTATTTATGTAATTTCTGATTGCTTATTTTCTTCTTATTGTTTTAAATTATAATATATTGAGCATCATTATGCCTAGCAGGGTTTTTTTTCCTTTTGTATTTAGGATCATTCTTTAAGATGGAATCCCTGAAACAACGGGCATTCTGATGGATCCTGGGAAATAGTGCTTAATTGCTTTCTGAAATATTACTGCTATCAAGTTTATTTGCTATGCCATTACCAACATGAGGTGTTGTCATTTTAAATACTTTTTGCTAATTTGAAATGTTTTTTAAAAGCAGCATATTGTTTTAATTTTTTTTATTATTACTAGTGAGGGTGAATATTTTTCCATGTTCTTGTCGCATTTCCTCTTTTGTGAATCAAATATTTGTGGTTGGTGTATTTTTAATTTTTTCTTTCCCCCTCAAAACCTCTTCCTGTGGTGCAGAAGAGAGAGAACATGCAGGGAGGGATCATAGTAATGACAGCAGAGCAGAAAATCAGTTCTACTGGACCAGTGGGCGGAAGTATGCAGTTCCACCTGCCCAGATCCCTCCCACCTCCTGGCAACCACTGGCCTTTGTATGAAGTGCTTTAAATTAAACTCTTCTTCCTGTTTATTGTGGTACTGGGCCTATAGTAGTGAACAAAATAGATGAAAATCATTCAAAAATTAAATTTCAGATCCAATGAGGATAATTCCTCTGACTCAGAGCCCTGTCATGTGCGAGTCTGCTCATTTTCCACTTCCACCCTTTCCCTCCCTTCCTTATCCCAGGCTCATGTCCAAGATCTTTCTTCCAGCCCCCAATTAATTTCTTCACCATTAAGATGAATCCATCAACACTTTCCCTGGACCCTTGTTCTTCCCGGACACTTTTATAGTATCTTTTTTTCTGTTCAGATCTTTCATCTGGGAATGTTTCTCTGAAGATATATTCCGGGGATTTGGTGGTATGTGAAACTGCTATCAGCTATTACACTGACATGGAAGAAATTGGGAGTTTATTGTCCAATGCTGCCAATCCTGTGGAGTTCATGTGTCAGGTAAGGCTGTTGGAAAGGAAACCTGAGTTTTCTGGACATGGAATTTTCTGCTCATAGTTCATCAGCCTTAAATCTGCTGCTTGGGGGATAGCTGGATTTAAAATCTGACCATCTTCACTTTTGTATTTAGGCCTTTAAAATTGTGCCCTACAACACAGAGACCCTTGACAAATTGCTAACTGAGTCCCTGAAGAACAACATCCCTGCAAGTGGGCTGCACCTCTTTGGAATCAACCAGCTGGAAGAAGAAGATATGATGACAAGTAAGTCAACAGTCAAACCTCAGTGAGTTGGTTCCAGTTTGCCTGGTCAGCAGGTAGTCAACCCCTGCTGATGCTTTCTGCTGGTTCTTGCTCCACAGCCCTTCCTTTGAGAAAGATTTATTCTTTTTTTTTTTTTTCTTAGCTGAGCCATCCTGCCACCTGTTGGCAGCTCAGCAGCAACTCAGCTCGGGCCAGGCATTGAACCGCTGTTGCTCAGAGCTCGCACTCTTGCGTGAGCTCTTAACCAACTGAGCCACTCGGCCAGCCCAAGAAGGATTCATTCTTCACTGGCAAACCAGAGAGTCTTCTAAATTGTAAATCTGAATTCCTCACCTTACTAAAAACCCTTTGTGGTTCCCACTTGCCTTCCAGATAAAGCCCAAACTCCTTCACCTCTTTGCAAGTTCTTCCCAAGGGCTCCTGCTGCATTTTTGTTCTTGTGTCTCTCTACTCTCTCCCTTGGCTTCTGTGCCCTGCTCTATAGGAGGTATGGACTGCTTTCATCTAATGAAAATGCCGCCCTGCCTCTTGCCACCTCAACTCATGGGAATACACTTCTTCCTGCCCTTCTTGGTTGCCATTCACCTGGCTAATTTCCCTTTACCTCCCTGCAGCAGCTTGGTTGTACTTCCTCAGGAAGACTTTCTTGAACCTTCAGTAGGTTCCATCTACGTCCCGCAGGCTCCCCAAGCATGTTGGGTGTCGACTGTCCTAGTGCTGCTAGGCTGTGTCTGTCTCCTTTGCTAGGCTGTCAGCTCAGTGAGGGCTGAGACTGGGCCTGGGCAGCTCGTTGTAGGCTCTTGAAACAAATATCTGTTTGGTGAGGGAGGAGCAGTCTTGTGTGACATGCCAGGAGCTGGGAGAACCACTTGCGTGGGGATGGTGCCTGGACACTGGACAGGACGCCTGTTATTATGTGGACACCACTCTTCCTTCATGCTGTGGCTGTGCTTCACAAGGGGACCCACGTCTCATTACCCTCTGCCTGCATTCCATCCTTCCGTAGCCTAATAAAACCATAGGATCAGGTTATGCTACTTTCACGTCCTTCTTCTGGGGGCATTCTCTTGTTGCCCCATTTTCCTACTGTGGAATGTTCTTGTATTACTTCTAGCAGGTGTTAATATTCGCTATTCTTAAACTTGGGGCTTAGGAGGGAGTATGTGGGATCCATTTTCAGGTCCCTCATTCCACGGATCATATCCTGGTGAATAGGAAGCTGGGTTTGTCTTATTCAAAATTATAGATAGATGATAGATAGATAGATAGATAGATAGATAGATAGATAGATAGATAGATAGATATAGATATAGATATATAGATATATAGATATATATAAAATCACTGTTGGGTCTAGAAATCAACTTTTATGAAAACAAAAAAAGATTTGCCCCTCCCTGTCACCTCCACAACAAATATGTCTGTTTTCTTGGTTGAGTTTAACTTGTTGTATTCAGATATTAGTAGGTGGAGGGGTCATGGGGATCCAGTGACTCTCAGGAGCACTTTGTTTCCCATGAAATCAGAGGTTAATGGACATCCTGGGGTTCACTTGCATTAATACAAACATTTAAAACCTGTTCTAAACAAGGAACTTACTGAATACCATCACATTAATCCTCCCAGGTCCCTTTGAGATCGCCTGGAAATATTTTCTATTTCAAAACTAAGGCTCAGGGAAAGACTAACATAGTCAGGATTACTTGACATGCTTTATGAAATTGGGAATAAGAGCTAAGAAAATGGACTTCTTTCTTCCAGTCTGCACAAAACAATTGCTTTAAAGTACCCTGAAGTTTGCAGAGAAGGTCAAAACATGATTCCTGTTGTGGCAGCTATTTGAGCTTTTTAAAAAATCAGCATGTTCTAAATCTATTATTTCTCAGGATTCTCTGGTTCTTTTAGAGAAAGAAGGTAGGATATCAATTATTAGACTTGCTAACAATTAACATACGAGTATCATTTCTTCTGTCATCTGAGTGCGTAATCTTCAGTGGTTCCTTGAAGGAAGCTGTCAGATGTTAGGTCAGTCAACCAAGAAGTAATGATCAAGTGTGTGCTGGATGCAATGTTAGGCTTGCCAGCTTCATCTCCCAGAACGCGGGTGCCCACTCTGCCTTCATTTTTATCGGTCCATGAAGTTTTCCTTGACAATTTTTCAGATCAGAGGGATGAAGAGCTGCCCACCTTGTTGCATTTTGCTGCGAAGTATGGACTGAAGAACCTCACTGCCTTGTTGCTCACTTGCCCGGGAGCCCTACAAGCATACAGTGTCGCCAACAAGCACGGCCACTACCCCAACAACATCGCCGAGAAACATGGCTTCAGGGACCTGCGGCAGTTCATCGATGAGTATGTGGTAAGGTCAAGGCTGCAGAGGCCCCAGGATTGGAAGTGCACTTTTTGGTCCTAGGGCTGCCTTTTCACCAAAAACATGGTCCAATTTCATCTCTAACATGTCCTCGTGTGCCTCTCTTCCGGCAGGGCCAGTAAGTGTGGGCTTAAGAACTGAGCCCTGGAGTCATGTGGACCTGGGTCCAAAGTCCTGTACCAACATTTGTTAGCCACATGACTTTGGGCAAATCACGTGTCCTCTCTCTCTGTTTCCTAATAGGTAGAAGGAAGATAACAGTATACCCATAGGGTTCTTTTGAGGATAAAAGGAAATAATGCAGGTAAAGAACTGAGGTCCACCTTCAAAGAATTTATAGAGACATTTATAGAATGAATCTGCTGACGGCTGGGTGCTAATCCCTCTTCCCCAGTCATCTCCCCACCCACTTCCAAGGCACCTTGGCGGGATGCTCCCAGGTGCCTCGCCCACCATCATGTCCAGGTGAACTGTGTTGGAACTGTTTCCTTCCTTAGCAGAGACCGCTATAAAACTCTGCACTGAGGTTTCAGGGGACCCACTGTGAGGCCTCGCCTTCTGCCGAACAGCTTCTTGCTGAGCCTCTGCCTGTCTTAGGGTAGATATGCTCAGTTTATCTCCTCATCTGGTTTTGGACTCCCAGATTCTCCTTGATCATTGACTTCTGGGTCCTTCTTTGAGTGTAATCTCATCCCATGCCTAGGCTTTGGAGTCACCCCAGTATTGCTTCCATTTTCTTGGCAGCAGCTGCCCTTCCTGACTCTACCCTTTTTGGGTTTTCCTCCATTTTCACGATTCACAGCTAGGAGGTGGAAATAGCTTGGCCTCTCATATGGGGCTGTGACCTCAAAAGAAGCAATAAACACAACTGAGTTTTGCTCTCCACCTCCAGACAGGAGTATCTTGACACTACCCCCAGAAACCTAATTCTGTGCTCTGTATTTGACAGTCTATGCAGCAATGACTCACTGAGGCATGTAGAGGGGGCTTCCCAAAGTTTTGGGGTGATTTAGAGTGTTGAATGAATAGAATAGCCCGAGTACCTGTTTTGGGCATCACTGACATAAATGAAGTTAAAAAGTGCTCGCAGCCTGGGAGTATTTTCTCAGCTTTACTTTGAAGTCACAAATGTATAAAAGGCACTGTTTCATTTCCATGCCAATAGTTTTTATTAAGAGCAACACTGTATTCATGTTAATAACTGCTATCTATTGAATTTATTCAATTGGCAAATGCACGATCTCATTTCATTCTCACCACAATTCGTTGAAGCTGACTGTATTGTTATCTCCCTTTAACAAGTGAAGAAAAGGGCCTGGAAAGGCAGAGTAACTGTGCCTAGGGTCACATGCTAGTCAGGGTGGAGATAAGATTTGAACCTGGTTTTGATGCCAAAGCTGGGGCTTGTTATCCTACTTACTCCACATAACAGGGAGGTTTAAAGATGCACTTTCAGCTTGCACTGAAGTTAATCTGGTTCACAGTTCTCACATCATCTTTGTTCTTCAGCTGTAATCACCAATGCATCTTAAGCATTGCTACCAAAACGTGGTCCCTACATGTTGTTTATGACCTCTAAGAACTGTCCCATTTCCTCTTTCCACCACATCAAAACCAAATGCCACTCATTGAATCTCCAGCTCTTCACAGCTGCCACCTGGTGCTCTCCTTGGGTCTCATCAGGAAACCAACCAGACTGTCCATGGCAGATTAGCTCTCTTGGGGTAGGGATGATGAAAATGAGTATTTCTGTGGGTTGATGCTGAAATCAGGATTGTGAAACACCAAAATTTCTTACCAGGAAAAGCGCAGAGATTTCAGAGAAGCCAGCTCTCTGGCTTCACAGCCACCTGGAGGCAGAATGACAGAGGGCAGCTGGCCTGACTTCAGGGCATTTCATCCAAGATCATCTCCCCTCTTGATTACACAGGACAGAAAACCTAGGGGTTGTTTGGTGAAGGCACTGTCAGGCGCTTTGGAGCCGCCTGCTGGAAGGAATGGGGCCTAGTGAATCAGGCTTCTAAGGGACCCCTGACTGCACAGAAGTGCGGGAGCACCTTAGCTACAGCCCCATTTATCCCATTGGAATTTCCATGTGGCCAGTCAGTAAGGGCGATACCCTTGTGTGTCATTTGCTCCCTTTTGAGGAACCCCTAGGGCATAGTGGAAAGGTCAGAAGCCAGGATTGCAGGCCCTTGAGGAAGGCACTAGGTTTTCCTGAGCTTTGGTGTTCTCGTCTGTGAACTAGGGAATATTACACCTTTCTCAAGCCCTGGTGGAAACAGTGACATACAATGTGTAGGCAAATGCCTAGCATCGTACGTGACACATAGTAAGTGCTCGTGAGAAAGTTGAAAATTTGTATCTTCTGGTCATTGGACGTTTATCAAGTGTCTCCTGTGTGCGTGACTCTGCTTAGAGTTTGGGTAAGAAACAAAATACGTAAAACAAACACAAAGAGACTTGGAGCCCGGCCTTATGGAGCGTTCAGTCTGGTGGGAAATATAGATGTACACACACACGGAGAACCTTTACTTTGCCTGTCCCAGGCCCATTCAGGGGCCTAACTTTACCCAGAAAGCCAGGGTGTCTCAGTGTACCTATAGGTCCTATCGTCTTTCAGGAAACTGTGGACATGCTGAAGAGTCACATTAAAGAGGAACTGATGCAAGGGGAGGAGGCTGACTCTGTGTATGAGTCCATGGCCCACCTTTCCACAGACCTGCTCATGAAATGCTCCCTCAACCCCGGGTGTGATGAGGAGCTCTACGAGTCCATGGCTGCCTTCGTCCCAGCTGCCACTGAAGACCTCTGTAAGTAGCACAGCCCAGTTCTGCTTCCATCTTTTTGCTGACAGCTTTCCTCATTCTGGTGTGTGTGTGTGTGTGTGTGTGTGTGTGTGTGTGTGTGTGTGTGTGTGTGTGTGTGTGTGTGTGGCGGGGAGGGGGGGAGGGTAGAAAGGGGGAAGTCCCTACTTAACCCCACGTTACCCCTGAGAGATAAAGATCCTGTTTTACACAAAGTTAGGTCTGTCACCATGTGCTGTGACAAGCAGAATCCTTCTCCAAACTTCCTCTGCTGTGACTACTGTGTGACTGGAAAGTTTAAGCAAGGGCCTAGAAGTCAGAGCTGATGAAGACATTGACTTGTGATCCGAGAAGCTAAATCAATGGTTTTCAACCCTGTGAGTCCCAACAGGCCTTTTTTATAGCAAACACTTTGCCATGCCCCCTTTACTATGCTGACCATGAGATTTATATATAATCTAACCTACCTACCGTGTTTCCCCAAAAATAAGACCGGGTCTTATATTAATTTTTGCTCCAACAGTCTATATTTATTCATTTACTCATGTACAAAAATCTGCATTTATTCAATTAGTCATGTCTGGCTGATGATCTTAACTGGGGCTTATGTTTGGGGTAGGGCTTATATTACAAGCATCCTAAAAAATCATGCTGGGTCTTATTTTCGGGGAAACACGGTACGTATGAAATGTTTAGAAAAAAAAAATACACCCTAACTGAAGTATAAAAGAGAACTATAAATGTGAAAGGGAACTCATATGAAAAAAGGAAAGGAAATTTTCTGGCATGCCTGTACATGAGAACACAATGAAATAGTCAGATGCAGACATCTGCACTCAGAATCACTGCCAAGATCATGGCCTCAAATGCTGACTGACACATGTCTGTTGTGTTGGGGACTTAGGTCCCACCAATAACGTTGGCATCAGTGCCTGGATTTTCCTAAATGGTAAACAGTTCTTTACACTCTCCTCTCCATTTTCATGGTAACTGAACTCCTGGAAAATTCAGTGTATATTAAAACCATGCAGAGATACAAGTTGTATTTATATATGAAGTAGTTTAGTTTCTAGGCTCAAAAAATTATAAGCAGGTTGTTTTTTAAATGGTAACCTGATTTTATTGGGTTAAATAGAATAGACTTATTCCTAAAATATCATATTTCTAAGACATGATTTTTCTTGTAAATTGCTTAACAAATTTTGCTCATTTTTGGTTATATTGGTTTTTTTTTCTCCCAATAGCAAAAGCAGTACATTCTTACAAAAATTTGAAACGAACTGGAAATACATAATTGAGTAATTAAAAATTCCACATGACCCTACCCACCCAACCAATATAGCACTTATAATAGTTTGGTAATTATATTTGTCCATATTTTTCTTTGTACCTACTGATACTAAATTAAAACATATACACACATACCTATACATATACACAGAGATGTATAAACATACACATATGTATAAATTTGTATCATAAGCAGTTTTTTATCTATTTGTATGTCTAGGGAGATATTTAAAAGCCATGAGGGACATGAAACACTTCATTGTGCAGGGCTGTCCGGCACAGTGCAGGGTGTCTAGCATCTTTCTCTCTTGTCCTGCTAAATGCCAGCAGAGTCCCTCCATCTGGGTGGCAACCCAAAACACCCTCATAGATTTTCCAACCTGCCCCTAGAGGGCAGTGCTGTGCCCCTTGAGAACCACAGGCCTAAGTTCTGTTGTATTTCAGTGCATATATCAAGGTTGAAGCAGGAGGGCCACGTGGTGGGCCCTCCAAGAGCCTTCTTGATACGTTACCACCATTTGCTATCAAATGCTAAGCCCTCTGAAACTGCCTAAGACTTAGCTCTCCTTCCCTCTGGTCTAATTAATAGATTCAAGAAAGACAAGGCAGAATGCCCATCAACATTAAGCTGTATTGATGGAGGGCTTTCTGACTAGATTGAGTATTGTCAACTTGCAGCCCAAGAAGAAGACAGCCGGACCCTGGGCCCACAGGGAGGTGGGCCTGATTTTCCCATCCATGAATGGAAAAGCAGGCACCGAGATGGTGCCTTGGAAAAGGAAGTGTGGGCACGTCAGGGTGCCAGAGGTGTCCTGACACCAACAGCACCTTTGACATTGCAGCCCCAGCACCTGGAAGGTGTGGTCCAGTGGTTGTTAGGTGCTTGCCAGTCAGATTGGCTGCTCTTCTGAGGGAGTAGGGAGAAAGAGGGAAAGCGGTAGACGCTGTCTTCCAGCACCTAACTGGGAGGACTGGAAGCTCTGGTGGAAGCTCTTCCTGAAAGAGCTGTGACCCAGCAGGGAGGTGAGGGGAGAAGGTACCATCCCCACCATCCAAATTCTCTACCTCACTAAATCCTTAAAGCAATGATACAATGATGCTTTTATTAACCTGGACTTTACAAATGAGGAAACTGAGGCACAAAGAGGTTCCGCAACTTTCCCAAAGTCTCACAGCTAGTAAGTAATAGAGCTCAGATTTGAACCCAGGTCTCTCTGTCTGTAGGACTATATTCTTTATTCTGTGCCAGAAATTTCCATCTAGCACCACGAATTTTAGTCCTGGTTTCTTTTAGAAAAACTCTCTAGCAGCGGGAGTCCTACTTCCTCTTTCTGCAGCCCAGGCATTAGCTCACACAGCAGCCTCTGCCGCCCCCTACCCTTGCACATCCATGTACCCAACAAGCATTTCTGGAGCATCTACCTCTCCTGGGTATTGGGGAGACAAGGGGGGGCCAAGACACAGTCCTTTCCAATCTGGAACAGAGACCCCTTCACAAAAGAACATTTGGAAAGTAACTGGTACCCACTTGAGAAGCCAGAGACCAGTCATTAATCTGCCCTTGTGCCCTTATTGTGGGACAGTTGAACAATTGTAGAATCCCCGACTTTACTGACAGACAGTTGACAGAGAGGCTTAGCACCTGTTATCTCCCCGGGTGCTCCACCATATGCAATTCCCCCACCACATCAGGGGCAAGCCGCAGGGAATGCGAAAGGCAGCCATCCCATCACTCCTCATAGTGGGAACAGTGAGCCTCTCCAGCACTTCCCAAGGGGGTGGAATGCCATGGAGCCGGCCTGGTTTGTGACCAGTTGGCCACTTGGAAAGTTACCTGGGGTTGGGGGGACTCCGGTTGCCATGGAACTAGAAGGAAGCCACTGAAGTAGAGGCTGTAGAATTTGGCTGCTTTAGGGTTGGGGACCAGAAACCCAGTGCATTTTTCATTTGCCAGTTCATATAAACTGAATTTTCTGATTGTAAACATGATTTGATGTGTGTTTCCGGCTCTGTGGTTTAATCTTGAGAATGACCACTCACTGATTGGCCCAGAAGCAGCAACAACTTATACCTGGGGAAGAACCATTCATTTTACTACCAATGACTATCTAGGGGAGAAGGCAGCTTAGTTCATAAGTAAGGAGGACAAACTGATAAATCTAAGATCCATATTTTCAACATGACCCAACACATTAGTAACTTGGGACATCTGCGAGTTGTTTCAAGTCAACAGATAGTTTTTATATCTGTTATCTCCTCAGATCATCCTTGGGCTTGGTAGATAGAATCATCTCTATTTTCCAGGGGACAGAACCAAGGCTCCAAGATTCAGTAACTTATTTAAGTCCCATCAAGGGAAAGCTGGGTCAGAAATCTGGGCCTGCAGATTCTCAGGGGGAAAGTCTGCTCCCTCACTGCGACAGTGGACTCTCCTAACCTGCCCTTCTTCTGGGGTCTGCATTTGCCAGTCCTGGGGTGGACACTTAGGCAAGAACTATTTCTAAATGTCTAAATCGCTGAGTTTATTAGTGCCACCTATGTCAGCATTCAACCCTAGCGACCCTAGGGGCTGAAAATAAACATGTTAAGGAATATAGTGTTCACTCCCTCACTCCCTCACTCATTTCATTCACTTGCTCTCAGGACAAACATGGAGTGCACACTTTAGGCCAGCTTTTTACCACTGCTTTGGAGGCCACCTAATCTGTGGGGACAAATGTGCCTCTTTCTGACTTGAGTTTGGATAAGGGAGAGTGACGAGGCCTTCTTCAAAGGGAATCCGAGACAACCATTAAATAGGAAGGTTGTCAGGGAAACTCCCAGTGTTGAATGAAGGGGGCTTGCGAGCAGCGTTGGGTTGTGACTCTGAGATTTTACGATTCCATTCCAAGCTTTCCTTACCCCGAACTGGTGTGAATGCACATACAAACACACACATGCACACGCACACACAACCCTCATACTCTTGTTCTTCAGTTTAGATATGCTGCCATCAGGTGGCAACTACATGCCTTTGTTATCAGACTTTCAACTTTGCTCCCAATTTTCTTGAGAGTATTTTGTTCAAGATCGCACACATTTAAACCATCACTGTCCTCACCTTCCTATATAAGAAATAAATGTCTTGATTAAGGCTTATGCAAACACTAAATAAAAAAATCAAGGCACACCTCTCTTTGGGTGTTTTCACAATCTCCTAATCTTATTCTCATTTAGTTCTTTTACCTCTGACCTTGCGCTCAGAGAAAGATACCATGGACCTGGTGGCTCTATTTCATGTGGAAAGCCTCCCCCAGTGTCTGATCACTTCCCTGAGGCCCTGGGTACTGAGGCCTCAGGAGCCATTTCTGGGAGGCCCTTGTCCAGCTGTTTCCAAGGTAATCCACTTGTGGATTGAGTTTTGCTTAAATATCTCAGAGGCTTGTCTTTCTTCTGTAGGAGAAAGGAGCAAAAACGGAAAGGTGTAATATCTCCTACTAGAAACTGTAAACACACGAGTCACTCGAATCCATCCCAGACCAAAGGCTGCTCTGCTTCAGATGACTCCTGCCTTGAATTTCTCTGTTGCACCCCTGCTCCCTCCACCCAGTTCCGGGGCTCAAGTTTGTGTATGACGGAGAGCTGACTTAGCCCTTAGCAACCTCCTTGGTAACTGGTGTCTTTGTAACAGATCATCTCCAGCGGTGTTTTCTTCACCTGAGCTCTCTGATTATGGTCCCTTTCTGCGAGCTGGGTTTCCTCCGAGCTGGGGGCACAGTTGGGCACAGTAAAGGGTCCTGCAGCTCAGCCAGGTCAGGTCTGAGCCCAGCGGAAGGAGCATTTGTCAAGTTACCGATTTGCTTCTGGGATCATGCTGCCTTCCCTGCCTGCACCCTTTTGTGTCAGCGTGTCCCTGCCTGTGACCACTGAGGCTCTGCCATCCTCCTGCTTCCCAGTGTGGGAAGACGCTGGCTAGTCGAGCCGAGAAATGCTTTAGGGGCAATGAGGCTGGGGGCAAGGCATGAGGTCTTACCAGCAAGGAACTCGCTTTCAGGCAGAGCTATTCCTGCCCTGTCCAGGGCTCAAACTGACCCAGCAGGGCAAAGGGAGGCTCAGGGCACTTCCTGACTTCTACTGCTTTTTGTCCCACCAGATGTACAAGAACTGTTGGGGACATAGGCACCTAGTGAAAGCATGTTGGATTGAACGTTTTAAAGTTAATAAGATAAAATCCCCACCATGAGCAACGACCTTGCTCCCCTCTGGACCTGCACAGCTGTGGGTCACACTTTCCTCTGGGCACTGCATGCAGATCACTGTGCACTCTGCTTACGTACACGTTTCTCTGGTTACTCGCTCCTGCCTCAGTTAGGAGGCATGTACCATCCACAGCGCTGTACACAGTAGGTGTTCAACTGTTTCTGGAATTCGAGAGTGCCAGAAAATAAGACGCAGTCCTAGATTCTGTGGTGTGGACTAGTTTGCTAATGTTCCATTGCTAGACTTCGCTTTCCTGAGAGACGGTAATGAGACCTATTAGATGGCCCCGAGGGAGTGTGGGACATCTCAGGGGGGTACTAGCTCCTCGCTGCTCCAGACTGCCTTTTCTTTCCTCTCCGTGCATTTGCTTGTGCTGCTCCTGCTGCCTGAGTTACCCTTCTCTTTTCTCAGCTGGGGAAATGCCCAGATCTGTCACAAAATCCAAACACCTCCATGCCAGGTATTTATTTGTTTATTCCTCATTAGTTGGTTTATTCACACATTCATTCATTCAACAATATTTACCCAACTCCTTGTGTGTTTAAGTCACGTGCCAGGTGACCACGAGTCAGTGAACAAGCTGGCATGACCCCTGCCTTCCAGAGCTTCTCTTCTAGCAGGAGAGGTGGACACGAAACAGAAATACTCACTGAATATATAACTACAAACCGTGACAGTGCCATGGAGGAAAGGACTTGGTGGCAGCTACAGATGGGGAGAAGCGGGGGAGGGGAGAGTGTGTGACTTAGCAAGTCATGGTACCCCCTGGACCCCACCATGAACTCATCCCGTAGACTGATTTCTACAGGGCAGAGGGTCTGTGTGCTTGCCAGGGGTACTGTATTGAGGCATTTGTTGTCTGCATAAGAAATCCACAAAATGTAACTTGCGTCTCCTAACCCTTTCCTTCTTAGCCCCTTTTTCTTCATTGCCAATCAGCCCCTTTCATTTCACACTGCCATTCTGTCTCTGTCTCTGTCTCTGTCTCTCTCTGTTTTTTTCCCTCTATCGCTCTATCTCTCCCGTACCCCAACTCCCCACCCCTCCTCTCTCTTTCTGTCTCTCTTTCGTGTGTGTGACTCTCTCTCCTCTCTCTGTCTCTCTCTCCCGCTCCCATTACTTCTCCATTAAGGTATGGAAGGTTGGACATTCTCACTGACATGGTCAATCAAAGCATCCATCCCACCGGAATGCCAGGAGAACCAATCAGGTTTCAGGTTACCTTCAACGGTCTGATCATGCTGCTCCTGGCTCTGAGGCTCTTTTTTGGCCGCAAATATACTTGCTGAAAAAAATTCTTTTGGCCTGCTTTCAGGGTTTGAAAGCCTTTTCAGAAGAATAGCCTCTCAGTAGCTGACATTTTACTGTATTATGTACTCAGATTAGGTTTTATATTAAATTAACAACACATAATCTGGATGGAGTTTCCACTGCAGTAAGTGATCTAGATTTCTGTCCCATGGGGCGTATCATGTGGGCTTCTTCACAAATTCATTACTGCTCCTGACTCACTCCCTAATTAAGTGCCTGCCTGGGCTTTCTCTCATCTGTTCAAGCTTCTTTCTTCCCAGAAATGGGTTCTTTCTGCCTGACTCCTTAAATAAGGTATAGTGTAACTCTGCAGCTGCCTCTTCCCAGAGAAGACTGTGGCCTCAGTCTCCTTGTTTTTTTCTCTCCACTGAAACCAAAGAACTTTGCACTTGCTGCTTAGACCAGCAGGCTTCACTGCATTTCAGGGGTTTTTTAACTGACAGGTGGTGCAGGTTAAGTGCTTGGAATCTGAAGTACAAACCCTGAGCATCCAGGAACGCAAGGCTTTATTGTTCTGCTTTACTTCACAAAATGGTCCTTAGTCTCTTCACCTCCAGAATTTTCTGTGTTTTTCGGTCACTCGTGTGTTACTCAGTGTGTGCCTGGTTTGTATGTATACATCGGATTGTCAAATTTAGAATCTGAGAGGGTCTCATCACTCACTAGCTCCAAACAATGAGGAACTTTTTCTTTTCCTTAATATTACTAAAGTAGTATCTGCCGCTACTAGAACTTAACTGCTATTAATAATATAAGTATGGCAATAATGTTTTAAAAATCATTTCATGGGCCAGTCTCACTTCACTGGTATCAAGTGCCTGCGGAGCTGTGTTGAGAAGGGTTCTGAGGCCAGAAAGAATGCTGTGATTGATTGATGATGTTCACCTTGAGTACAGAACAGGGACATGGAGGCCAATGTATAATATGTATTTGCTGTTCCTGGTCTAATTCAAAGATGTTTACTTTCCATTCAGTATAAAAACAGTGATTTTATTTAAAATATAAATGGAAAGAACATCATTTTTAGGTAACTTTATTTCAGGTAGCACATATCTGGGGACTCAGTGGAGGCCAGTGCCCCACATCAGGGCAGGACTGCTGAGTCCATGTGTGGACACGACGGGCTTGCCTGAGTGTGCCCTCATCCCTGTGCCCTGCTCCCCTCACCAGCCCAGCGTAGAAAGGAAATTCGTCGCAGGCTGACTGTACTGCTATTTGGTCCCATTTGTGGTCGGCAGAATATTGTTCCTGATCTGTGAATATGCTTGATTATGTGGCGAAGGGGGATTAAAGTTGCAGATGGAATTAAGGTTGCTACGGAGCTGGCCTTAAGGGGAACATCCTGGATTATTGGGGGGGTGGGCCCGGTATAATCACAGAGTCCTTAAAAGTGGAAGAAGGAATCAGCAGACAGACCAGAGATGGCACCATGAGTAAGACTCAGTTCTGCCAACCTTTCAGCCTGACGTCACTGGCTCTGGAGATGGAGGAAGAGGGCCCTAGTACCATGGAGTGAAGTGGCTTCTAGAAGCTGGAAAGGGCAAGAAGACAGACCCTCCCCCAGCGTCCCCAGAAAGGAATGTAGTCCTGCCCAAACCTTGATTTTAGCCCAGTGAGACCCATTTCAGATTTCTGAACTACAGAACTGTAAGATAATAAATGTATGTTGTTTGAAGCCACGAAGTCTGTGGTAGTTTGTTACATCAGCAATAGAAAACCAATATGCTATCTAGGTTACCCAAATATAATGATAATGATATCCATTAATATTTAGTGCCTAGAACTGTTGGTAAGCATTTTATAAGCATTGTCACAGTTGGCTTATACAATCCTCCTATGAGGTAGGTACTGTTATTTATCCCCACTTTACAGATGGAGATATAGAAGCTCAGTAATATCAGGTAAATTGCCCAAGGATGCAGTGCTAGTAAGAGTCAGAGCCAGGACTTGAACCCAGGCCTCTAGGATACCAAAGTCCATGCCTCATTCACAACCCTCAGGACCCTTCTTGGACCACCATATCAAAAGGTCTAGATACGTTCATTTGAATTTGAAAGAATGGGTTTAATTTCAATATATGTAACTGTGACATTGTTTACTAATAACAGCAAAAAAAATAATTGTAAGAAGGAACAACAAACAATAGATAAATTGTGGTTAATTTAAACAATGGAACATTATGCAACAGTTTAAAAGAATGTGTTGGAGCCACTTCTGTCAACATAGTACCATCTCAGAATTATAATAATACCATCTGAAAAACAGCAAGAAGTCGATTTTTAGGTCACCCATGTAATTGGTTATATATAAGGAGGGAGCACATTGACCTTTGGCTTTCACTGTTAAGCATAAACCTATGGAGACCAAAACTGTGTGTGAAAACCATTCAATTACCACAGCAGTTTCTGCTCAATGCCGAGTAACTAGCAGTGCCCCATTACTTGATGACTCTGAAGCACGCGTTTGGGGAACAAAATATCAGCCTTGTGTTAAGAGTAGAGCTTTGATATTATCAAGAGGTTGTATTCACTAAGTCATATCACACCATCACTGGGGACTCATTTGCTTAGGCAGAATATGTAGTTTGAAGTTGAGTAGTATACTTTGAAGGAAAAAAAGATTTGAATTTAATCATTGTACACAGATATACTGTTTCCTTAATACTTTGATCTTTGGGGACCAGTTAAATATCACATTTCCCAAGAGTATAAATTCGCCAGATTGTCTACTCTTCAACTTCAAACTACATTCATACTTTTTTGAGTCCTATGGTCCAGGAAAGGGCCTGAGGGTTGTGAATGTTGCTCTCCTTTATACTTTACACTTACTGGGTATCCTTACTGAGTGCATGGATGGATGGATGGATGGATGGATGGATGGATGGATGGATGGATGGATGGATAGATGGATGGATGAATGGATGGACGGATAGATGCATCGATGGATAGATGGGTGGATGGGTAGATGGATGGATTAATGAATTCTTGAATCTTTTAGTTCAAGATCTCTTGATTTGTCAAAACTTGTATATCCATCTCTAAAATCTCCTTGCCTGTTTGGAAGAACAACTTATAACCTGTTACCCTCCTTTTCCTTCTAGATGTTGAAATGCTTCAGGCCAGTACATCTAACCCAATCCCTGGAGATGCTTTCTCTAGGACCACTAAGGACTCTATGATCCGCAAGTTTTTAGAAGGTAAGTTGTAGCTGTGAGCAGGGAAAGAAAAACAAATGTAAGACATTGCCTTGTTCCAGGGTTGCTCCACTCAAGGAATGGGCTGCCATGTACATGGAATATGGTGTGACTGAAGGTACTGAATAGCCCATAAGCCCTCCATCAAATTGTTACAGGGAGTTCAGAAGTTTCTACCACTCATTTGCATAAACAGATTACCTTCAGCAAAACCTCTTTTTAAATGCACATGTTTATTTTTATTTAACCAAAATTGATTGAGTACCTACTATGAGCAAAGCACTATTCTGGATCTTGGGTTGAGGGGACACAAAGAAAAATAAGATACAGTCAGTGCCCTCAAGAGACTTTACTATTATAAAAAATGTGTATTTCACAATAAAAAATAATTTAAAAAAAAGAGACTTTACTTTCTGGTGAAGGAGGAGAATATAAGGGAATATACATAACACTTATTAATTGAGGCTATATTTCATAGTGGCTAAGAACATGGTCTCTGATTTGTACTCAATTCTTCCCTTAATTAGCTGGAAAACCTTGGACACGTTTCTCAACTCTGCGTCTTAGTTTCCTCAGTTGTAAAATGAGATGTATGTTGTGAGAATTAAATGAGTTATTGTACATTACACCTCAGAGCAGGGCCAGGCATAAAACAGCAATAAAGATTTTTATTGTTGTTGTTCTTCTTCTTGTTATGGAATGTTTCAAAGGTGGGAGATGTTAAATTGTATGGGTAATTTCTTAACACTGTTCAGTCATTTGTAATTTATGGCAGTGTCTGTTGCTCAAACAGGTATAGAAAGGGGGGTGCTAAGAGGATAGGACTCAGGATGGAAAAAGTAGTTTTGACAGTGAAGTGCAAAGAAAAATTGTAAGCAATTGCAGATAAACTACAGCCTGGCCAGCTGCCTGTTTTTGTAAATGAAGTTTTATTGAAACACACCACACCCATTCATTTAGTATTGTCTGTGACCGTTTTCACACTATAAGGGCAGAATTAAGTACTATGTACACGAGGGACAGGCACTGTGGGAATCACTGTCACCCTGTAGGTAGCAGGCTGCTCTCCCAGGACACTTCATTCTGTTAGCATAAGACAAGCCTCCCCAGAACTTTGTCATCCCTTTGTACCAAATGTTCAAAGGTGAACAGATGAGGGCTTTTCCATTCATTGGAAACGTCTCTGAGGGCAGAGCCTTGGGACTCAGGACGTCCTGATGTGTTGGGACCAGCCTGGTGAGTCCTCTGGACCCAGGACACAGGGAAGCCAAGAGCGGTTTCCCCACAGCTTAGAAGATGCAATGAAAAAATTCCTAATAAATACTGGATTGGAAATCCTGTAGGAGGAAGGCCCATGCTTTATTCATTCCCGTGTCTCAAATAGGTATTTAATAAAGATTTGTTGATTGAATGGTGCTAGGGAGAAGGAAGGGAAAGGAAAACACCTACCATGTGCAGATATTGAGCTGGGTGCCTTCCCTTTATTGTCTTATTTTGTCCTCATAGTACTCCTGTGAGTAGCTCTCAGAGGGAAATCAGGCTCAGAGAGGTTATATAACATGCCCAAAGTCACACAGCTCGCATGTGCGAGGGGCGGATGGCATACCCAACCAAGTGTGCTGAGATTCCCAAAGCCCAGAGGTCACTGATTGGGTCTCAGCACAGAGCATTTCAGCCTGTCGCCAGGCAGGAGGCAGAGAAAACCTGAAGGCTGTGGGACTCCAGGGGCAGAGGGTGGGGTAAGCTTCAGTTCTCAATCTTTCTGGTCGGTGGGGAGCAGACTGGGAACAAAGGTTGCAAAAGAAGCAGCATAACGTGCTGGTTAAGAGCGCAAGCTCTGGGGCCAGCTTTCTTGGGTGCCAGTCTGGCTCTAAGTGACTCTGGGCAGGTAATTTATATTTCCAAGTCCCCAGTTTCTTTATTTGCGAAATAAAAATCATGGTTGTAGTTACTCCACAGCGTTGTTATGCAATCGTAGGAGATAATATGGGTGATAACACTTCAAACAGTGCCAGGCACAAAGGACATCCATAGGAAGGGTTTGGGTTTTGATGCTGGAGCCATTGGTGGTGAGGACCCCGGGCCTCCCTCACACGGCTGCCCAGTCCCCAAGGGGTTGTTTCAAGTCCAGTGGGATGAATAACTGAATCCCAGCAGGAAAACTGAGATGATGCAGCCTAGGGCTCACTTCCTTTTGCTGCATTGATGGGGGCAAATGAAGGTGACATCAGTGTTTCCTCAGTTGCTTTGCGCAGGGTCCCCATTCACCGCTTTCCGTCACCTTTTGCTATGTTTCTAGGCAACAACGTGGGACTGGCCAGTTTGGAGAAGGAGCTGCAATCTCTTGGTCCGGACGATGTTTATCACACAGTGGATGACGACGAGGCCCTTTCCATAGACTTGGCCAATAGGCCCCCGGTCCCAGTGCCCAGGCCAGAGGCCAGTGCTCCTGGCGCTCACCAGCTGCCTGACAATGAACCATACATTTCTAAAGGCAAGTACGGCAGGGAGTGATGCCCAGCGGGGTCCTCAGAGCTGCTCAGCAGGAATTCCCTGGGTCTTCCAACTTCTGGCCCATTGCTCAGAGACTATCCCTTTCTGCATGGTCTCCAGCCAACCCGAGGAGACAGTCAGAGCTTGGGGAAGATTCTGGAGCTAGGCGAGAAGCAATGATCAGATTCAGTCTGGCCTTCCTGGAGGCATTCATATGCAGTATGAAGACAGAGGTGAACAAGGTTTCCCTCTACTCCAGAATGCAAGAACCCTGCTCAATTTCTGTCTCCTGAAACTCTTCTTCTTGTTATTATTATTATTAATTTTTAATAGCTAACATTTATTGAAATACACCAAGAATGCTCTATCTGGAACATATCATTTAATCTTTACAATAATCTATTAGATAAGGACCATTATCATCCCCATTTTACAGATGAGGAAAATGGAGGCTTGAAGAGATCATTTGATTACCGTATAGCAGAGCCAGGATTAGCACTCAGGGACTCTGACTTCACAACCCTGGCTTTTAGCCACTATGCTAGGCTGTCTACTTACCTATATTAATAAGAATTGGTGAGAATTGGGTTTTGACTTCTTCCTAATGGTCCCTGGGGCATCAATTAGATACTGATAGCATTGTCAGTTTCACTGTCTTTCAGGACTTGATTGTATTAATATGATTACAAGTACTGTAAGAGTACTTGTAATGAAGGTCAGGTGTGCCTGACCTTCATTCCATTGTTAACAGTATAAGCAGGTTGTGGAAGGTGTGGCAAAAAGAGATCCTAAATTGGGGGAGGTAACCCTCATCTACAGCCCCAGGCAATGGGGCTGAGGTCTTCAGATGAAGTGCAAGATGCTCAGTTAAGTATGAATTTTAGACAATCAGCAAATAATTTTTTATTGTAAGTATGTTGCAAATATTGCACTCCTTTTTTGGCCTTGGTTTTGGTTTGTTAAACCTGGCAACCCTAAATGGAGTAGAAATACAGTTGAGGGATATTTTGCATTGCCAAGGGCTGTCAGGCTCCTGGTTTGCCATCTCCTTGGGTAACACCCCCTTTGGCGTGTGTAGTGGACACTATTGGTGCTCTGCCCACACCCTCCTACCTCTTTTTGTTTCTGTGTCCACTGGCTGGACCCTGCCTGTCAGGACCTGTGTCTTTTAGCCTGATGGCTTTCTTTGGCAGCTAAAGCCTCCTCTACCCTCCTTCAGGACAGGCTGGAAGAGTTGGGGGGTTAACACCCCTGGACACAGCTCTCAACCAATGACTGGTGAGGGTTGGTGGATGAGCGCCCCGGCTTACTTGCCCCTCCCCTGGGAGAATTCTGAGGTGTGTCCTCTATCTTGCTTTCCAGAACGCCCCAGCCTGCCCACTGTGGTAACTTACTGGTAACCACCATTACTGCTTTATTCACTTCCTTGTATCGCCTCCATCAGCTCCCACATAGACTACATGCACTTGTGTTCTGGTCCCCAGGTCTGCTTCTAAGGGAACCCCAATGAAGAAGCATGCAAATATACATTGGTAATGCCTAAATGGCAGACGGGTGAAGGAGAGGGTGTGATGGCAGAGCTCATTGTGGGGAGGCAGTTGGGAAAGGGACACAGGTGATTCCTAAAGAGTCTTGATGGACTTGCAAAGAAACTGTGGGGAGGCAAAGGGAAGGAGAGAGGCAGAAGATGACAAAAAGGGCAGTGATTTGGAGGGTTCATGTCCTAGTTCTTGCATTTTCCAGCTGTACAGCATGGGACATTGGGTAAGTCATTTCACCCTCTTTAGCTTTAGTTTCCTCATCTATAAAATGGGTATAATAATACTACACATATTATATATATATATGTGTATATATAACATGTATATACATACATTATATATATACACACATATATATATACACACATTGATGCATGTATCATAATACATAATACTCTGCCAGAGCCTTATTGTGATCGTCCGATGAAATAATGCATGAGGAACTACTTTATAAACTGTAAAGCACTGTACTAGCATCACTTGTGTTAACCAGCATGCGCAGGTATTGCTGTCCTGCTGTCATCAATCTCAAGGTTTAGATGTGACTGATGATAGTAAAAGCAAACATTGAGTACTTACATGTGCCAGGCACTATGCTAAGTGCTTTCTATGTATGAACTCATGTAATGCCCACAATAACCCAGCGAGGAAGAGGCTATTATCATCCCCATTCTACAGGTAGGAAAGCTGAGTCAAGGAGCAGTCAAGCCCCTTGTCCGAGGTCCTATGGTTCATAAGTGGCAGAGTCAGGACTTGAATCCAGGGCATCTTGTGCAGAACCCAGGGATCCTTAACCACGATGCCGTCCTACCACTAACTGGACCTTTGTCACTTCCCAGTTTCCTTATTAGCCTGTATGGGTCTGTCACTCATGAGCAACATCATCTAAGTCCCTTTGGAGCTATGCACACATTGTACCTATTCCACCACTCCGAGTTCTGTCTCATGGCACTTGTGGACATGTTAAGTGGGACTTCCTTTGATTCTCAAGCTTCCAGGGGTTCCACAGCTACCTTCAGATGTTCAGGAATCCAGCCCATGTCCTCGTTCGCACCACCCTTCTCTTTAATGATCTCATGCATGCCAATCATGCCCTCCGGCTGGCTTTGTCTTTCTGGGATTGAGACTTGACCTGTTTGGTGTCTTCATTGCATAATCCCTGCAGCTTCTGATCAGTAGTTGCTCCTATTCGAGTTTTGATTTACAGACCCGCATACAGCGGTCCAAGGTGTGAGATCGTTATGATTGTGATTTTTGTGCAAGATTTTGGTAAATGCATAAAATATTATAAAGCCCTTGAGAAAGAAATGTGATTTGGCTTTTACCTAGAATATTCTTTATTTCACAGTTTTTGCAGAAAAGAGCCAAGAGCGGCCTGGGAATTTCTACGTTTCCTCGGAGAGCATCAGGAAAGGTAAGCCAGATGTCCTCAGCTTTTGTTTGTACGCCCTGAACTTTCGGGCGGTAGAAGTGTTCATGTTTCAGTGATTTCAGATGTTACAGCAACTCCTGAGCATTGAAAAAACAGAGAGGTCAAGAGATGCTTTGGCTGAAATTGTATGAGAATCCTGTACAGATGAGAAAGGGAGAGGAGACTGAATATTGTACAAATTGATCATGCCAAGGACATTAGTATACTAGAAAGTATCTGTAACGGCAGACAAAAGTACAATCTAAACGTTCAAATCAATCTCGACAGGATGAAAGTGGGCAACCCAGCATCCAACCTTTACCTAATGATACAGCCCCACCATGCTATTTACTTACCTTGTCTATCCTAAACTATATATTAATTCAAATTTTATTCAAAAGACATTTGCTTGCCATTGGGTAACTTTTTTTTTTTAACCAAAAGACTTCTTAAGGAAGTTTGAGGAGACAAGTGCCCTCTTCTTTTTGATTGATTTCCTTGTGCTAAACAGAGGCATTCAGTATTAGTCCATTGATGATTCTTTTGAAAAGGAGTTATGACACCATCTAAGCATTCAAAGGCATCCCTAAGGACTTTGGTAGTAGGGGATTGGAATTAGTTGGCTCATGCATTTTGTTTTGTCCCCACACTTCATCTCTCAATACAATTAAAGACAGACTTGAAGAGGTAAACCTGGGAGAAAGGTATGTGAGCGTGTGTAGACAAATGAGTAAATGGTTGGGAAGAATGATAGATCAACTTCTTTGAGGCTTTTTCAGTACCCACTGGGGAAGCCATCTCTCTTTTTCCTTCTTGCCATCTCCCTAAATCACAATGCCCAAATTGGGTCCTGCTGGAGAAACATAAAATCAAGGATAGCCCTACATGAATTGAACAGTAAAATGTCAAGTTGTCCTCACATGTCCTGGTGGCCCCGTCACATCTGCAAGTAGCTTGTTTCCCACAGGACCTAGTGTCATCACAGCCTAGGGGGACAGAGAGGTTGGCTTGGTATTTCCCCAGAAGCTCCAAAGTAGAGAACTATGAATTTGTGATGTGGAGGACAGGTTAGCACAGGAACAACCCAAGGAGAGCCAGTTGGGACCCAGCACCTAATTTATACCTGGTGATGTTGGATTTGGGTCATGATTCCATGGGTGTTCCAGTCTCCTCAGGCGTTTCATGGCCATGGAGCCACAATCATTGTGCCCCATGCTTCTCAGAAGCAGGGAGGATGAGAGGGCTGGAAGTGATGCTAGGAGAAGCATCCTGGCTAGACTTTCCTGTATATTCTCTTCTGGGAGTAGATTTTAGTCTACAGCAGTGGTTCTCAACTCGGGGTGATTTCTCCTCCAGCCCCTCAGGACATTTGGCAATGCCTAGGACTTTTTTGCTTGTTACAGCTGAGGAAGGGGGTGCTATTGGCATCTAGTGGGTAGAGGCCAGGGATAAGGCTAAACATCCTACAGTGTACAAGACAGCCCCCAAACAACAAAGATTTACCCAGTCCAAAATGTCAGTAGTGCCTAGGTTGAGAGAGGCTGGTCTAAAGGCTTCTCAGACATCCAGGCTTGGGGGATTTTGTTGACTCATCAGCAGATTTCATATCTCCCTAAAATGTCTCTGATTCCATGTCATCTCTCCCCCTTTTTGGTTCCACATGTAATTGTTCTTTTGAGACACGTCCTCTTGAGCCCATGACCAGCCTTGTTAACCCCACTCATCCAGTGGGCTCTCCACTTGGGGGAGCAAGCGGTTAAGCTGAGTTTTGTCATCCTTTCCAGAGCCTCCCGTCAGACCATGGAGGGACAGGCCCCAGTCGAGTATATATGACCCTTTTGCTGGGATGAAAACGCCAGGCCAGCGGCAGCTTATTACTCTCCAGGAGCAGGTGAAGCTGGGCATTGTCAACGTAGATGAGGCTGTGCTCCACTTCAAAGAGTGGCAGCTCAACCAGAAGAAGCGGTCTGAGTCTTTTCGCTTCCAGCAGGTAACTGACCCTGGGTGGAATGTGTTTCATGTTGTTTCTCTTCTAGACAGCAGTGGAAGCTTGGGTCCGCAGCTGCCGTGCGTATGGCTGTAACTGGGCACCTGTGGCTGGGCCTGTGAATGTTTCTATGAGTGTCATTGGGAGTCAAGGCTTATGTGTACCTGTTACACGGCTCCCAGGCTGAGAGCTGGATGGCTTTCCTGGTTGTTGTGTGGCTAGATTTCAGGAACAAAGACTCAACTGTAAACCCTAATTTTGTGGCTGCTACTTCCTTCTGCATGTGGCCCTATACTTTTGCTTTTCAGCTTTTTTCTTTTCAGTGTCATTCTTTCTACTGATAGTACCAAGACTCCCACAGAGCTATCATGCTTTAGAACTCAAAAAGAACTTGGAAAGCTCCCAAGAAACATGACTAAATGAAGAAAACAAATCATAGCTATTAAAACACCCAAGTTAAAACACACACACACACACACACACACACACACACACACACACTTCCTGTGTTTCTCTGCTGCTTCCTGGACCAAGCTCAGGCTCTCAGCTACAGTCACAACCCAAACAGCCTTTCCAGCCGGGCCTGGCCTCCTGGGGCCAACTCATGTGAACCTTCTGGTGTCTGGATGTCAGTCCCTGGGACATTTTCCAGAGAATGCTCAGACACTTCACTTTGAGGTAGTTGTTTATTGACCAAAATAGCAACAAATTTTGATGCTCACATGTGTACTCAATATTTATCAAATGACTGTAATAGACCAGACTGCAGGATTACAGAAAGGTACAAGACCTGGTCTCTTGCCCTACAAGAGTTCACAGTAGAGACAACACACACACACACACACACACACACACACACACGGCAAGACAGTATCCTTAGCCCAGTGCCAGATGGCTTGGACAGTCACTAAGGACTGGAGCACTATGGGGGAGGCTTTAGGGAGAAGGCCCGGAACAGATTCACGGAGAGCAATTGATGTCTCTCAAGGTCAAGGTCACAATGATGTGAAAACATAGTTTCAGAGGCAGGAATGTGTGTGGGGTGTTTGTGAGCAGATAATAGACTGGCTTGGCTAAGGGGTGGACAGGGAGGAGGGCAGTGGGTTCTAAGGCTGGGAAGGAGCTGGGAACCAGAGGAGAGGGAAGACAGTGTTGTGGACAAGGTGTCTTCCCTTCAGGCGCAACTTCTAAGAGAACTTGGATTTCTCCGGGGCTGATGCAAATGCACTCAGCCTCATTTGCATGTTGGAGGTGGTATTGCAATGTGATGTATCTTGCAAACAGCACAAAACCAGAAAGAAACTCTAATGCCTGGAGGGCTTAATTCTGATGCATTCTTTCAAAACTATATTTTTTTTCTCCAGGAAAACCTTAAACGCCTAAGAGATAGCATCACCCGAAGACAGAGAGAAAAGCAAAAATCAGGAAAGCAGACAGGTATGTGGCTTCCTGGGGATGCTGCCTCGTGGGGGACTTTCTATGACCTGTTGTCCTTGAATCTCCTTCTGCTGTGAGCAGCCTGCTTGCCTAGCACATGCCACCCCGTTTACATATCTGGGTCCCCGACTAGACTGTGAGGTCCTTTTGGGCAACGGCTTTGTCTCGTTAATTCTGCATGTTTAGTACCTGGCACATAAGACATGTCAGCAAATGAATGAATGAATGGCTTGAACTCTGCATCCCTCTACTTTCCCGCTCAAAGAGGATGCTAACGCTTTCTCCCCAGGCACCTGACTCTCCCCTTGGCATTCAGGAAGGCGTGGTTTCTCAGCAGAAAAAGGAGAAAATCCCACTTATAAGTGTCTGTTTCTGCACCCAGCAGGGAATTATGTAGTCAGTGTCCATACCACACACTGTGTCCGAAGTCCAGGACCCAGGAGTAGCAGGGCTCCTGAATCCAATAGCAGGGCCACAAATTCCAGTTGTGCACACTGAGAACCAGGCCACTCTGCTTCCCTGACCCATCCTCCCCCAGGGGCCACCCATGTGGCACCATCACACCTGAGCAAGGACCAGGCATTTTCCCACACTGCATATTCTCCCGGAGAGCCTCTGGCATAGTAGGTCTCTATGGTTTACACTTGCCCGCCTTATACCAAGAGGAACTGGAGAGAAAAGGCTTTTCGAGGCTCTCACACCTTGAATGGAGCCCCATTACATGAAGAACTAAGTTTGCGTATAACTTCCATAGTCTTTCCAGCTGCCATGAATAGCCCGACTTCCCTGGAATCTGATCAGGCTGGTAACCTCCCAGTCTTCAAACAGGATATCTTCTTGGCACAGGCCCCTTGCTCATGCCTCTGCCTTCTTGCCTGTCTGAAAATTACTAGGCTGTAATTTTCAGTGGCAGCCGCTTCTCAGTGAAGCCTTCCTGGACCACTCTGGGCCATTTTGTTCCTTCCTTATTTGAATATCTATAGAACCACTAGCCCTTCTATTCGATGGTACTTCTCTTTTGCTGCCTCTGATTGTTATTACTTCATTCTTTCATTCAAACCATCAGCAGTTCCCAGAGGTTCTGCCACTAAAATGCATCTTAAATCTGATCATTTCTAACCATCTCCCATGCTGCAGCCACAGCCAAGCCGCCATCAGCTTTTCCTGGATTAATGCAAAAACCTCTTCAATTGTCTCCTCATGTCCATTCTTAAACTCCTCTACAGTTAATTCTACAAACTTCAGCCTAAGACCTTTTAAAAATAAACAATCAGGGGGGTGACCAGTTAGCTCAGTTGGTTAGAATGCGGTGCTGATAATGCCAAGGTTGCGGGTTCAATCCCTGCATGGGCCACTGTGAGCTGCACCCTTTTTAAAAGAGTCAACTATGCCATTGTAGCATGAAAGCAATGTGTAACCAATGACAGTGGCTGTTCCCCACCCCCCCACTCCCAAAAAAGTAAATAAATAAATAAATAAACAAACAATCAGACCATGCCCCCACCCCCTGCTCAAAACACTCCAGAGGCTCTTATCCCACCCAGAGGAAAATCACCCTCCTCACTATGACCTATAAGGCGCTACATGATCTGACCCCTGAGTTCATCCCTCACTTGGCCCCCCGCTCTGCACTCCAGATGCAATGGACTCCTTTTTGTTGCTCTGTCTAGTCAAGGGCATTCTCCCCAGGGCCTTTGCACTTGCTCTGCCCTCCTGCTGCTTTTTCCACATCTTTATTGGCTGGCTCTTTTTCATCCTTCAGAGCTTAGCTGTGAGTTCTCCTCTTTGGAGAGGCCTTCTCCGCCATTCTCTCCGCAGTAGCCTTCCACCACTCACTTCCTGTGTCACTCCTTATCCTCTCTTTTCACACATCACTGACTGGAATTAGCTTATGTTTCTGTTCTCATGATTATTCTCTATCCCTAGCTCCCTTCCTGTCGCAAGCTCTGTGAGGGCAAACGCTTGTCTGTTTTGTGCTCTACGGAATCCCCTGCGTTGTAGCACAGCACATTGATAGGGCTCAAGAAATCTTTGTTGGAATGGTTGATTTCATTCATTTCATAAATATTTAGTGGGCACCGGGTACCCTACCAAATACAGAAACCTATAAGACGTGATCTTCACCATCTGGTTGCTCATAAGTTAGCCCTTTATTTGTGTCGGTCTGGTTTTCTCAGCTACAGCCTGTCCCACAATGCATAGCATGGTGTTTTGCATTTTGCATATAGTACTAGCCTAGTGAATATTAATGATTTTGACTGTTTGGGAGAAGAGTTGTAAAGAGGTTATACCCATGGCAAAAGGTCAGAGAGGTCATCCTATGATGTCTGCTTGAGTCACTGGATTTTAAATGTATGCTGCCACTAGCCAAGCTCACACTTGCCTGCCCTCCAGGCTGAGAGGAGGTAAAAGGAGAGGAGGCAGAGAACCTGGTTCAAGATCTGCTCGGTCATCCTTGGATCAGACAATAGGGCTTTAGGTGGTAAAAGGCCTGAGGAGCTTTTTAAAACTAAAGCACATATACCCAAAGATAGAAAATACAGGCAGCATACGAAAGCTGTGATTTGGTGATGCATGCGGTGTTTGAAGACCAGGGAGTCATAGTGTGAGGTCACGTGTGCTCAGTAGCCTGGGCTTCAGAACCGAGCCTACCTGTGTCATCACACCTGTACCACCCACCCAGCCTCTACCTGGTGACACTGGAGATATTGGAGCAAGACAGACACGCATGCTGAAGAGTAGAGGAGTACAGGCGTGGTTCCTGGGGCCAGCAGGGTTGGGGTCAAGTTCCTGCTCACTGCTTACCCCTAACTAGCTGGGAACAATGGACAAGATACTTCACCAGACTGAGCCTCAGTCCTCATCTGCAAAACGGCACAAATCACAGTACCCGCCCCATTACAGTTGCTATGAGGACTGAACAAGTTAGGGTATAACCAGGGCTCAGCACAGCACCTGGCATATGGCAACACTCAACCAAATGCCCACACACCAGCAGATATTCTCTCAGGCGGGGCCTCCCAGGGAGAGTGCATTGGGCTGGACTCACAGTCCAAGGTTCAGACATGGAATCATGATTTTTGAAATATAGTGCAAAATTCACCTAAGGCTAATTAGTCTCCAAATAAGTGATACCCACGATCGGCTGTAGTCTCAATTAAAATGGTCAGTGTCTAAATTTTTCCAAAGTAACATGGTTTAATGCCCATCCTCCCTTCCTTACTCCGCCCCCCCCATTCCTCAAGAACCAGACCCTCTGACTAGGAATATTTTGGGGGGGAGAGAGGGGTTAAGTAGTTTTACTTTTTTATATCAGGGGCTGTAATTAATGTCATAACTATTAAAAAGTTAAACTTTACATAATTTGATACTAAATAAGAACAGCTAGCAACTATAAGCAGTCCACATGGGGAGAATGTTCTACCTGTCAGTCCCAACTTTATTGGGGAACAATGTTTTTTTGGGGGAACAATGTGGTTTTTTCCAGGATCCATCAGCTCCAAGTCAAGTTGTCCTTTAATCTTATTTGTGGAGGGTTCAGCTCAGCTCCAAGTCCAGTCACCGCCTTGAATCTAGTTGTGGGGGGTGGGGGGGGGTGTAGCCCACCATCTCATGCTTAAGTCAAACTGGCAACATTGTTCTTAAGAACATGCACTCTAACCAACTGAGCCATCTGGCTGCCCCATTTTGGTTTTTTTTCACTGTGGTAGAATACACATAACGTAAAATTTACCATTGGACCTAAATGTACAATTCAGTGGCATGAAGTACTCACAGTATCGTGCAGCCATT